GACTGTGCGCCCCTGTCCCGCGGGTCCTTTGAAAGAGGCTCTCCTTCCCCGCCTCCCGCCATCCTCTCTCCAGCGCTGCAGGCCTTGGAATGGACCATTGGGCATCCAGCAGCCGGCCCGTGGGGAGGACACGGGAGGGAAAGCTCTGGCCCTGGACGGAGATGGGCCCCCTTTCCATCCTGCACGCCTCCCCGCACTGGCGCCGGAGGACCAGCCGGGCTAGTCCCGGCCCAGCGGTCCAGTGGGAAGGACAGGGCTGGGATGGGGATGTAGTGGAGACATGGGAAAGGCCGGTAGGGACGTGGCCGAAATGTGGGTAGACCTTTCCCAGAGAGCCCCCCGGGCACCTCGCTATCCGTGATTGTGAGCATGTCACGCTCCCTGAGCCTGTTTCACCTTAGTTGTAAAAGAAGAGAAATAACGCTGACTTTGCAGCGCATTGTGAGGATTAAAGAGTGAGTTTGAAGGGCCCGGTACACAGTTAATGCTCAGCACATTGCAGTTACCGGTGGGGACCTAGAACCTTCTTAGTCTGGGCTGAGGGCACAGTGCAGACTGTAGAAAGTCAGGCCTCACCCTCCATTTCGATGGCTCTGACAGGCTCAGAAAAGTTCAACCGGGCAACCACTTACGACGAATGAACAAAAGGGAAATATACAGTGAGTGCCTATTAGGTACCAGTTCTATAGCTTACAATCTAGTACGGGAGGCTGACTCTCCCCCCCCCCCCCCAATTTAAATAGATAATGTGAGGTGGCTAGAGATGCTATAGAAAAAACTACATGGGGTAAAACGGACTCAGAGAATTGAGAGGGCTCCATTTTCCATGGGAAAGTCAGGGAAGGCCTGTCTCCCAGGAGTGACCGGAGCAAAGTGAGAGAATGAACCAGCCAAAGACCTGGAAAAGAACATTCTAGAAGGAACAGCAAATACAAAGGCCCCAAGAGGGCATGAGATTTATGTGTAAGAAACAGCATTCATTCTACAAGGTTGTAATTATCTCTATACAGGGGTCCCCCTGACTAGACTGATTTCCTTGACGGTGGAGATTTCTTTTACTGTACTCCTGTCTGTATCTGCAGCACAGAGCCAGACATCTAGTATGCACTCAATAAATCCTTTTTAAAAATATATTTTTTATTGATTTCATAGATGAAGGGAGAGGGAGATAAAAACAGCAATGATGAGAGAGAATCAGGGATTAGCTGCCTCCTGCACAGCTCCCACTGGGGATGGAGCCCACAACCCGGACATATGCCCCCGATCGGAATCGAACCTGGGACCCCTCAGTCCACAGGCCGACGCTCCATCCATTGAGCCAAACCGGCCAGGGCTCAATAAATCCTTTTTTTTTAAACTGAACAGACATGTAGAGGAAATGGGCTAAAAGGCACAAAAGGGAAAACAGGAACGTGGCTCAGGCTGGGTGGGTAGTGCTTGCAGGCCAGGGTCCAGGAGGGACCTCTGAACACAATCTTGTTCCTATCAGAATAATGGCATGCAGCATTGCAGGGAGATGCTGCCTTTCTTGGTACCAAAGGAAAGGAGCCGCCTAGCCCAGCTGTCCCAATTCCAGGAGTGGTGAGAGCAGCCAGGCACCCAGCCACTAGCCACTGCTGCAGCCACAGTGGCCCGGC